TGGACAAATCACCTCCTCAATGGGTACCTTTGTCTCCTCTCCCACCTTTCGCCTTTGTTGCATATTTACATCCTGGGACTTCCAGTGGAGGGACAGTCTCTTTCTGTGGGTGCAAGTACCCGGAGCATATTTTCTGTGCAACCTCGAGCAGAATAGGGCTCGATCCCGGCTGCTGCCTCTTGATGCATCATAATACAAATACGCTCCAAGCTAATGAAAATCTGACAGGCAGGTCTTAATTAGTTTGTATGTGTACGGCACCCAAGTTGTGTTAGATGCTTCAAAAAATTATTAAAAAAAGGTCATTTAAAAAAAAAAAGGTCAATGATTCTCTGTATCCGCAGTGGACAGGACAAGACTAATGGTCTTAACTAGCAACAAGGGAAATTAAGAAGGGGCATTAAGAAGCACTTTCTCACTAGGAGTGCGGTTAATCTCTGGAGGAGATTCCTTGGAGAGGCTGTGGGATCTCCATCCGGGATGTTTTTAAGAGCAGGTTAGACAAGCAATTGGCTGGGGTTTAGTCAGGGATGACTCTGCCTTGAGCATGGGTTGGACTAGATGACCTTCTCCCAGCTAACTTTTTTTATTCTATGCTACACATAGGAAAAACAAAAAACAGGATGTTCCCAGAAATGCTTGGAGACTAAAACAATACTGCAAATATTTATGGTCCAATGATTGTTCTACTCAGCCTCACACCCAGGACTGAAGGAGAAAAGGTTAGTCCCAGCTTATGGAAAAACAGTAGCTACCGGTGCCAGTCCAGAGGACTGCGAATTAAACTTCTTGGTAAGAGTATGGCCCCCAATTTGATTCGGGTTTGTGTACAACTGGGAAGAGGGCAAGCAGTGGTCTGGCCTCAGAGAGATTCAGACTATGGAGTAAAGATCAGTTGTTCTCAACCCTTACAGACTCAAAGCACCCCTCATTAGACAAAAGACACCCCTTGGAAAATGCCAGCTCTTAGTTTTCACACGTTTTTTCACTATGGAAAAATACAGCAGGTTTGTTTCTGCTGCAAAAAACTCAGAAAGATCACAGCAGTCAGATTGTTCTGGATCCCCATTTGAAATTACTGTGTTTATCACGTGACTCACGTTTATACACCTAACAGTGCTAACATTACATGATATCCTGGGGCACCCTGGCTGAAAATCATTGGTATAGATATACAAATAAATTACTGAAGGATAAAAGGAGTGTAGGGCTTGATCATGTATCAGCTGCTCCACGCTAACTGGTCCTGAGCATATTGTTACCCACGGGAATAAGGAATGCAATAGAGGCCTTGGCACATGGGTAGGCAAAGTCCCTATTGCAGGGGTGGGCAAAGTCTGGCCTACAGGCCAGACTGGCCCCATGATGGACTCCATTTCCCAACAGCCCCTGTGGCTCCTGGCTGCTGCCCCCAGGCCCGTCCTGCTGCCCAGGCACCCTGGCCCATCCACCCACCTTGGCGGAGTTGTTCAAGAAAAGTCTCTTGAATCCTAGCCACTAAACTGCATAATATTTTGAGGACATCCTAGTTAAACAGCTGTTAAGTATTTATCATAAATTCTTCACTTAGCTGAGGAGAGGGTCTTCATGATCAACCCCTTTATTAACATATACCCATTCAGGATGTAGATAGATACGTGTTATTAATAATTGTATATGTACTATTATAAACCCAGGGGAAGTGGGAAATCATGGACCCGAGCTGTTGGAATAACTGAACAAGAGCTCAGCGTTCCTGGGGTTTGGCTTGAACCCATCCTCCCAGGCATATGTTTTTTGCATTTCCATTGCTTGATCTGAATGCTAATATCTGGAGTCAAATGGACTCTCTCTGTAGGTCTCGTGTCATGTAAAGCCAAACCCCTACATCCAAACACCCTAGTTTAAGCGTTCAAAACCCTAAGAGTCCTACTTTTTTGTGGGATGTGGATGTATTTACTTCTGTTTAACTTTCCGATAAAGTGATTCTCTTGAGAAGAAACAGGTGTTCTCTCTCTTTATTCCAGGGATAAAGTAAGTTCCCTTTGTCCCATATCGGGGATAGATTGCTTCCCTTAAAGGGTGGAAGTTGAACAGTGATAACTAAGCCCTCAATGAGAGGGGGCTACCACTTAATCCAGGTTAAGAGCACATGCAAAGGCAGTTACCACAGAAGACTTGACACATGGCAATTTTCCACCCCCGTATATCCTAGGGCAATTTGTTTGCATATCCATAACCTATTTTTGGGGTTCCATATATACGCTCTGGCAGCAGTCACTGGTGAAAAGAAAAGCCCATCTGTGGTCCTTCTGGCTATGTCTCTTTTACTGACACCCGTGGCCTGGGCTAGCCCTATACAACCAGTCCAGGCAGTACTGAGGTTCCAGTAATGCTACAGGTTTGTGCTACATCTATTCACAACACGCTAGACTCTGCACTGAATCTGAACCAGCATCTCTATTTACACCTGAGGCAGCTACAGATTTCAGTTCCTGTTTTCTTTTTTCCAATCTGTTGCACTATAGAAGTCTCCTAAGAGCTTCCAATTCCCCTTAAAATTTAACTCGAGTTTTCCCTGTTACTAATCACATCAGCCCAGCACTTCTGGCAAGTGCTTTTGTTTCATTTAATTGAAGAGGACAGTTACCCCCTGTACGACAACTGCATCTGTGAACAGTTGTTTCCTCGTCTGCAGAGTAAGCCTAGCCCTCCTATGCCATCCTCAGGCAGCGCCTTCTAGTTTCCTCAACTTTTACTACATTTGCTGCTTTCCCCTGAATGCCCATTTAAATATTCTAGCAGTGAATTCTGCCCTCAAGACAGCTCCAAGTGCCCCGGCTGAGGACAGCAGGCTTGCTCAGCTGTATCCAAGGGAAAAACACGTCCCTGTGTATTTTTAAATGCAGCAGGTTCCAATTCCATTCCCCAGCTGGGACCTAAGCAACCGTGTCAAGCAGAGGGAAATAATTTCCTGCCTTGTCTTTCATAACACACTTCTGTGAGTACGGCCCAGCGGAGCATTTATTTGCTGTGACACTCTTGCACTGTTGCCTCCTGCGCAAATTATCATCCTTTCTGAGCTCAAATCAGTCCTACCGTTACTAGTGCCAGCCTGGCGTTCTCCCTATTCTGTTTTCAGGTCCTGAACCACTTTATTCAGCTACACTTCTAAAATCCTGGGGCTTTTGCTAGCTATTGCTTCTAGGATCCTGTCTGCCTTCATGGATCCCCCTGTGCTAAACAGAGTTAAGTTCCTAATAGAGTTCACCTGTTTGTAGAGAGTACAGGAGAGGAAAGGCTTCTTATGACCAATCCACATAGGACACAAGATGCAAGGTTTCAATCCATTCCCCCCTTTTGCTTTATCTCAATGATTCAATGGATCAGTGGACCATTATCACATATGTAACTGGAAGAAAAACATCCTGATGTTGTCCCCGGACAAGTTTCCAGAGTTTTGTGCATCACCAGCAGCCCACAGAGCAGAGGCTGGGAACAGCTGGAATGGATCGTAAGTCTTTGAACAGAACCAACACACACATCACCAGTGTCTAGACTAGAGATCACAGGTCTCTTAAGCCTGAATGAGAGACTGCACACTGTAATATTTTAAACAGGCACCCATGGATTTACAATACAGTGGGTGCATCTACACATGGTGATTTTAGGCACATTAGCCATTTTTAAGGCACATTAAAGGCACAGGTCTACATATGTGCGCCCTTAATGTGCCTTAAAAATGGTGATTTTAGGCTAATCACACCTAAATTTAATACCTCCATGAAGCAGATAACTAATCATGCCTAAATTTGATAAAGCACCTTAAACCATGTGTAGATACCATAAGGCACCTTAACGCTATGTGACTGAGTGGGCTGGAGCCAAACCCGCAGGACCCCGTGCTGCCGCTGGGCACCGCCAAAAAGACATTGTGGGTGCTTCTGCAAGGTACAGATGCTGGAGCGGCAGTTCTGGCAGCAGTGGTCCCTGTCAGCATGCAGTAAGTCAGCAAAGTGGGCAGAAGACACAAAGGCTCCTGTCAAAGCACAAGGGAAAGCCTCCCCAACCCCCGTGACTCCCTGCAGGAGAAGGGGGTAGCACAGCGCGGGCAGGGCCTTTGCTAGAGGCTTCCCCGTGCCTTTCCTTTGGACTGTGTCTTCCCACAGCACCTATGA